TCCCCCCTTTATTTTGATGAAATTTATTTTCTTCTTAAAGTGATATTAAGCAGTACCTACATTACAATGTGTATTGGAAAGGACATGAAATTAAAATTATTTTTAAAACCAGTGAACAGGAGTAACAACAGAAATGGTCATACTGGAAAAAGGTAGAAAATTAAGCACGGTGAATCCTGCTTTTCATTCAAAAATTCTGTTCTGATTACCAGTACAGAATCCAAAGTCATGCTACATACGAAGGATTTTGAGTTTTTCATTAAATCTGTGAAAGGTACAGGAGACCAAGTTTTATGTGCAAATACAAGCATTTGATATCAGGAGAGCAAAGAGCTATTACCTATATAATAACCTCATATATATGAAGGTCCATATTGCATAGGGTCAAGAAGTACATTAATGGGTCATTTCCTTTAAATATGTACCATCATCAGAAACATTTCAAAAGACACACAGTTGCAATTTTTCATACTTTTGTTTTATTGTCTTTACACAAAGTTTAAGATACATTTATACTGTCATTCTTACTTTCAAATGCTAAAACAGAAGGTCATAGTTAAATGGGCAAGCTAAGAAACCATCAGATTTTACGACAGGCAGAAATTCCTTACTTTTGTTTCCTCAGATGTTAAAAATTATTGTAAATTAATAGGTCTAAAGAAATGACACTCAGGAAATAACATATCAGCAATCCTGGCAGGCTTAAGAGAGTTGCTGGATCCATTTATTGCAGAACAGTTTCATAAAGACGAAGGCTTGAAGAGATCATTGTATTACCTATGTTCATCTTCTGCATCTCACAGAACATCTGTAACATTTCATTGCTCGGCCTATAATAAGCCTCGTAATTAGGCTACAGTGTTCTAATACAGAAAAAAACCCTGAGCTGCTATATATGCAGCAGACCACCACAAAGGCCAAGTCATATGCAACAGTGAGGAACTAATTATTGGCAAGATTAGACTTCGTGACGCCACCAAGCAATTTATACGCTGTTATTGCATATGAATTCCTCTGCAGCACTCTCATGATCAGTTTGATTTCAAGCACTTGAACAAAGCCTAGCAACCAAACATTTATGAAAGACAGTTTCCTATATCACTTCAAACAGCTACAAACATGATTTGAACACTGCAAAACATATACAACTCCGAGACATTTAAATCCAATTTATTTAGTTTCAAGTCAAAGATAAATTAATGGCAGTTTATGTTGTCTTAAAATATCCCATACAGAGGAATAGATATGAAGACTTCTAATGGGGTAGGTAATCTTTAAAAGTTCAAAAATAGGAAGCTGATGTTTCAGTTCTAAACTGAAAAGAAAAAAGAATTCAGATGAATTCTTAATAAAAACATAAGGGGCTACTAGAAAAACTAAACCAAGAAAGGAGTTCCTTACACTTCACTCAGGTTTGGCTCTCTTTAAAGGTAAGACCAAATGTTCAAAAGCTACAAAACACAGTAACACTCACTGAAGTAACAGGGAAGCCACTGGTGACGTTTTAACCCTTGATACTAAAATCTACTAGTTTTGAATATTGAATCAGTGCAAACAAAGAAATCCTCAAAAAAAGCTTACACAAAAACACAGTATTTGTAGCATGACATTACAAACTTGTTTTGTCAACTATATAACCTCTGCTGTCTCTGTGCATTCTGATGTACTTCTCGGTCAGCCTATGTCAGTAAATACTTCACTGTTTCTGTTTTGGGATCCTTCTGCTTTCCAACTCACCAGGACTACTTGCTCTTGGTTGTTTTGGCTGAAGTCCCAGAGAAATAACAACGCCCTTGAGTTGATTCTCATGGAGTTCAAGAAGCAACAGGTGCTCAAGGGAATCTTCAACCTGGGTCCCTAGCACAGCCTCTGATAGCGCACAACTTTCTTCCCCAAACAGGAAAATGGAATTGAGATACAGACAGACTGAACGAAGAGCAAGAAAGCAATCTGTTCTGAGACAAGAACTTCCTTAATTTATGTTTTTAGTTTTTTTCCCTAATGCTGCAGAGTGCCCCTGAACTTAGGTGGATCACATCCTAATGGGTCTTGCTTAGCTTTCTACTTCATATTACCCTGGGTGCCTCACAGAAGCTCTCCTGATCAAATCCAGAGCTCTGATTTTACTTCCAGAATCATGGCAGTAAAGGAATCCACATCTCAAAAAAAAAACAAAAAAACCACAGACACAAAAAAAAAAAAAACCCGAACGCCTGTATGACTATATTTTACTCCTACTTCTTTACTTTAGAACTGTAAAATCACTTAAAGAATGGTTTGTTTGTTTGTTTGTTTTAAACAAAGATATATTTGTTATAAAAAGTGCTCATCCCCAATCTATGAATTCAGGTCATGTTTATCAAAAACTTGAACTAGAAATAAGCCTCTGAATAAGATGCACAAAACTAAGTGAAATTAGAGAAGACAGTGGTGATATTCTTCCCATTTACCTAACGGATTAGCGGTCAAAGGATGATAGAGGAACCCTTATCAAAATGATCACTACTTCACTACTGTCTTCATGATTTTTGTACTAAGTCCTACAAGTTTTGTTTTCCTTACAAATCCCAAAATATGTTTTGTTCTGTGTTGAATGAACTATTTCGTGCCAAGCAAAAGGATTTTTTTAATTTTTCACCTCGGCTAAAGAACTCCAAGACCTTTTGGTTCAATCAAAACAAAGCCTTCCCTGCTCCCCAGTTTCTTGGTACTGAATCTGTACTTGACTACTGAATCAAAGGTATACAAAAACAAAACAAACAAAAAAAACAAAAAACGTACATGGACCATACACTTTTAATTTTAAAAGAAAAAATGCTACACCTCTCATAAGTCATGAGCCTTTTTTCATGTAGTTTTGACTTCTAAAATGCTGAAATCCCTTGCCTGACAAAGAAATGTTTGATTCTCCCTCAAGCCAGCAACTACTTTTATTCTTACACACACATTTCTTTTGTCTTCTCTCCTCTTTCTTCACTCTTCTGCTTCTAACTCCCTGTTAGATTATCATGATTTGGTTTTCACTCCCTTTTTTACAAGGCTGCTTTTAATAAAAAGGAGCCAGTGTCCTACTAATGACAGATTCTGAGGGCATCTTCTTCACTTTTACTCTCCCCAACTTTTTTTTCTTCCACAAGTTACCATCTCCTTTTCATAGACACTCCTCTCATTCATCTTCTGTTTAGTTTCAAGAACTACGTACTTTCCTGAAGTACCTCTTACATCCCTAATCTTCTTTCCTGTCTTACTTTCCATATGCCTTTTTTTAAGCTTGCATTTTTGGGTCATTACTTCTTTTCCCACTATATTCTACTTCTAGATCATTTAATCATCACTAATAAAACTAAATATTTAAATCTATTCTCATAGCCGTTCTCATAGTTTAAATACTTCACTCTCCCTTTCTTCTTGTTCTGGAGTCTCAAAAGAAAAGAAAAAAAATATCTTCTTAGTTGTTCTTACCATTTTTCATTGCAATTCTCTCATTTATCCCCACCTGTGAGCATTTATTGTAAAGCATATACTTTACAATTTACAAATCCCGCAAAACCACATCCAACCGAACAAATGCATTGTATTGAGAACTTTACAACCTGAACAGAATGCATAAGGCTATTCCTTGCCTTCCCATACACTTTAATTTTTCAAAACGGCCCATGCTAAGTCACAACAATCTACTACGACAAAAGATGTTTTTAACTATACCACTCTGTCAACATACATTTGGATTTTTCTGTTTGAAGACACTGACAATATGCACTCCCTTTTGATCGTTGGTGTCTCATCCTTGCTTACACCCTGACATGCTACAAAATAAAGACTCCATATACTTTGGCCAACATTCATTTTAAACATTTAGTTTCACGTGTTTGGAGTACATAGCGTTGGCTTACAATAGGGTACAACATTACATGTCATTTTAATCGTTATGCCTTAAAAGAAACACAATATACATTCTAACAAACTCAGTTTAAAACCCCACCCTAACATCTGTGATACTTAGTTTGTAATTGTTAAAACATAGAGAACACTCTAAACAATATATTGGGAACACAATGTGGCAGACAGTTGAAACTGTATCCATAGTCAATTTTGGATATTTTTTTTTTTTTGTAATAATTTTCTGATAATTTGGACTGGTCCAAAGATCACTCATTTGGAAAAGAAAAAAAAAATAAAAAAAAAGAGGAAATCAAAAGGTATTACAGTTTAAAGGAAGATCACTTGCTTTTTTATTAAGTTTGTTCTATTTTACACTTTTAAACCTTAAGAAAATGGATTAATAGTTTATTTATTTATCCTGATAATCCTATGCAGAGTCTTAAAATACCTAAGACTGTTTTGCTTGTTTTATTGGTTTCCTCCTATTTGTCTGCACTTTGAACCTTGTTACAAAATAGATGACGGGTCTTTTTCAGGATGAGTTTGTTTGTTGGGTTTTTTGTTTGTGTTTAACTGTGTCTGGATAGCACCAAATCTAAATAAGGTATGGCCTTAATCTCTGACTCAATTCTGCACAACAACTAACAACAGAAGAGCAAAATATCTTATTTTTAAACTAAAAGCATATGCAAGATTGAAGAAGTTGGTTTACCTTCCATTTCTTCCACAGGCACCTAAATCCTCAAAAATCTTGTGTGTATACACAAGAAGTCTCCTAAAAATGCTACTACCTGATTATACTACTTACAAAATTATGCATACAATTAACCAAAAAGGAAACTAAACACAATATGAAACGTTCATTTAAAGGAAAAAAAAACAAAAAACAAATCAAAAAGGCATGAAGACAACCAGAGTATACCAGGGTATATACAACTCAGTATCATGTTAACTTGGCAATGAGGCTTTAACAGACCAGAAACAGCCTGCACGTACCTTGCTTGCCCCAGCCATAAGACACACCCAATTTAGAAATAAAGATAATAGGTGTCTCAGCAAGAGAGCACATCACTGTTACAAGATGTTGATCTATGGAGTCATTTTCTTAGAATACTTACCACTAAATCCCAGTTATTTTGTTCAAGCAATGTTATAGCTTCATCAATATTTTCAATACCAGTACATGCCTAAAAAGAAAAAGAAGCAGTAAACAGAATTAAAAACACTGATCAAAATCAGAATATTAATATTTATAATTTAATTAATTTCAGCAGCATGACAGGAAAGGTATAGGTCTTTCACTTCTGTTAGGAGAGGGTAATCCAGAAATCAGGTCTCAAGTTTTAAACATCAAACATTTGGATATAATTCCCTATTCCACCAGAGGATTCTTGTGTAACCTTGAGCAAGCCACCTAGGGAAGCAAGACAAAGTAGTTAGTTGTAAAATTAGGACAACAGTGCTGTCCCATAAATGTGTTTTAAGAATTCTACGTTCAAAATTATGAAACACTCATACTACCTTAAAAGGGAGCACAAAAATACTTAATACTTAAAATTATGTTCAAGATGGCTGAAATGTTTTGTCTAAAGCCAGAAACACATATATAAACCCTACTGCCTCTGCCAGCATCTTATACCCCTGCTCACTCTGGGTTTTACAGAGTGCAGGGTAAGAGGGAAAGAAGGTGGCAAGTATGAATTCTTGATCATCAAAGTGCCAACTTACTACTGCATGTACAAATGAGCACCCCTTATGAAACTATTTAAAATTAAGACTATGTAATTAAATATTTACAATGTTTTCCTTTCAGACAAAATGCTTGCATGTTGTTCTAGCCTTATACTCTGGCTTTACCTAGTTCAAGAAATTTAATACAATAGCATTTTTCAAGTAGTGATAACATCCCACAAAATGGGATTGTAAATTGGGCTTAATTCCAAATACAAGAGAGCACCTCTACTCAGCAAAAACATGCAGCATCCTGCTTTCTTTTTTTGATACCCATACCTTTTCAACTATTCAACTTCAGCAGGCAGAGCATTGCTATTCATTCTGCCACATATTTGCTACCATTCACAGTGAAGGATATCAGATATATTTCACCAGAGGGGAAAAATGGAAACAGTAAAGTTTCTTTCTGGAATTTATCTTCCATCCTAATCAAAGCTATGCTCTCTATTCAAGTACATAAGATGACTTCAAACTTTTACAAGATCTGAAACACGATCATGTTCCTTGTGCTCCACCACACAGTTATACAAAAAGAGTTTATATAAAGTTTACATAAAATGACATTAAAAAACCCCAAACTTTTAACAGTAATAATACAGAGCTAGATAACAGCAAACAGATCAGTTTTCCTGATTCCAAAGACACAAAGGCATGTTTTCCCTTTATGTAATAAGAGAAAAAGGGGGCTAGGCACAGAAACAGACACTTTTATTCTCCCAAGACATAAAAAGCCATCAGGTCATACATTTTCCATGCTCTGACTTTTCTCCCAATTTACAACAGTGAAGAAATAAAAAGTAGAAAAGAAATCACAGAGAAATTCAAGGCCAGTTCTCTCTTCCCAAGTTCAACACTGAAGAATTCCACGCTTATGAAGCATTACATGCAGTATGTCTACACAAAATGGACCAGTCTGGAGGACCGCAAGGATCACAAGAAGACATTTTAGAGAGCTTTTGCCTCCAGAGGGGAGGCAGCAGTTTCTGTTGATCCACAATGCTCTCATGGCCAGATTGATTCTCTCTGGAACAAGACAAAATTTCTTCCATTGCTCACAGCATGTTGTGTTAATACTGAATTTTACCCACTTTGCATCTGGAGTGCTAACAAATTTTTTAAAAATACAGTTTTGCTCTTCAGAACCATCATTTTGCCTTCTCTTCCGTTACTTCTTGCAGTTACTTCTGAAGTTAAAAATGAGACAACGCTTTCAACACATTCCCTAGCAAATGCGAAGCTTATATACACTTATGCCAGGTAAGCTTGAGGAGTGCAGGGCTTGAGCTTGTCATTTCTGAAATCACAGGAGGGGTCATACTACCATAACCTGCCACTGAAATTGATGTCGACAGCTCTGCTGGAAAGCAGTCTTACTTTGAAAAAAAGTTTTGTGGAAGTGACAGTCTGCGGTTCTGTTTACAGTTAATTGAAATACACTTAAAAATCTGGTCATTACAGAAATAGTTACTATTTCTCATTTATCAGCCCTGCAAACTCTGCATGACCTTTCTAAGAACTAAATTGCGTTCCAACCTACAATAAGAACCTGACCAACAATGCATTGTTTTCAACCCTGGGCTGTGCAGATGAAGTTGAGGAGAGTGTACCCAGAATTCAGGGTTCAAATACCGGTTTTAGTTGCTCCCTCTTCCATATCACCCCTGCAACTCTGCTGACTTGCAGCTGTCCATATGCACACTGTTAGCCCATACTAACCACAAATCAATTCAGCTCACTTTGGTATACTTTTATTTTGAGATAAACTACAAAAAATTAGCTTGCCCTTCTGCCAGAGCACGCCGTGAAAGGAGTTACCTCATCACAGCAGAGGCAGAGTAATTAAGCAACTAATTCACTTGTATGTCTGCGTCCTTCTTAAATCATCTTGTTGGTGATTTACAATCTAAAATAGAACCCTGCTCTTTCC